GTGGCCTCTCCCATTTGCGGAGCACAGGCTCCGGACGCGCAGCCTCAGCGGCCATGGCCCACGGGCCCAGCCGCTCCGCGGCATGTGGGATCCTCCCGAAACGGGGCACGAACCCGCGTCTCCTGCATCGGCAGGCGGACTCTCAAGCACTGCGCCACCAGGGAAGCCCGAAGCACCTACTTTTGCCCTAATGAAGTCAAATATGCTAAAGGAGCATAGTTTGGTGAGCAGTATGCCTAATGATTAGAGCATTAGCAACACAGTCAAGACTGCCTAGACTCAAAACTCTAATTCTACCACTTCCTAGTTGTATGATCTTGAACAAGTAATACTTCTCAATTTCCTCACCCATAAGATAGGGATAAAATCAATATCTGTGTAATGGAGTTTCCTTGAGGATTACATGAGATCAACTATACAAAGCATTAGCACATTGGCCCTTAATAAGCACTCTATAAATCTCAGCAACTAATATGAACAAAAGTAAATTTATCAAACACTAGTAGTATTTACTGGAAGGAAAAAATTGTATTCTAATATATAACAATTTATATAACACAATTTCAATATATAATTGGAATAATTTCTATTTCATGATGCTTAGTGCCTCTGTACCTCAGTTACCTAATCTCCAAAATGGAGATGGCCATACCTCAGAGGACTGTTGTTAAAAACTGAATGAGATAATACACTTAGAAAGCAGAGAATAGAGCCTGGGATATAGTAAGCATCTAACACTAGCATTATTTTAATTTCCAGTTCATACAGACTTTTAACATGTCTATGGGGTTCAATTAAAATGTTAAAAATATGAGATTCTTATACATTATTACCTAGATATCAAAATCCATCAAGTCCAAAATTTATATCCAATCTTATCTACAAATTCTAATTCCATTAATATGTCTATTTTATATGCCTGAAACTATAAAAAACCAACACAGATCAAAACCTTGTTATAGGAGGAACAGATGAAAGAGGATGTTTCAAAATAAAAAAGAAAGAAAAACCAGAAAACAATATAGTTGATTTCTAATACTAGAAGCTGGATTATGCTTGTTTTATATGATTCCAAGGATTGAAATTATTAAGAAGAGATATGTTAGCTCACTTGGAGAAAGAAATTACCAGTGGTCAGAGCTGCCTCAAGAGGGAATGGGTTACTTATACACTTCTATCCCTGGCAGTAGCTTTTTCCCTGTGGCTTTAGTAGTGATACTAAGCAGATGATTCAAGTGTCAAAGAATAGTGAGATCCTTTTCAGAACTGTATAGTATTAATACTTGTTTTGAAATTGCTTTGAGTTACAAAAGTTACAAAATCTGGGGAAAAATTGAGGTTTATGCCTTCATTTTATAGATGAGAAAATGACTATCATGGTAACTGAATTCAAGGTCATTCATCTAGCCAGTAGCAGAACTATGGGTGGAGTCCCAGTCTTTCTTAACAATAGATAATTCCTTTTGTGTAAGTTAACAAGTTAACCATATTACCACATTGCAATAGAAAATGAGTTTGAAATTACAAAAAATAAATTTTACTGAAAAATAAATGAGTGAAACGAGAAATATTTCATTGCTATATATGCTAGAAATTATGATGTTTACTACTCTAAAACTGCATACTCCAGAAATACCACACTTCACTATGTAATTAATGGTTACCATGTTCAGGCTTCTGTTTTCTTTAAATACAATTTACTTGTCTATAATGCATTTATTTTAAAGAGAAAAAGAAAATTTAAAAATTCAAACACTGATAATATAACATAAAAATATTTATAAATCACACTAAGTTACTTAAAGGTTTAATGTTTTAATATAGATATGAAAATCAAAGAATGTCATACATTGAATATTAAATGTGTGAAGCAGGTTAGCTATTCCACATGTCTAAAAAATCATCAAATCAACTTAATTATAAAGGAAAAATAATATACTGAATAAACATTTTCTTTTCAATCCAAATTTTATCAGAATACCACCTTAATAAGAAAGATTCAGTGGCAGCTTGTCTACTTTCATTATCCAAATATAAATATTTTGAATATTAAACATCTCTTTTCCAATTTTTACTAATAGAAAAGCATTCTTTTTTTTTTTTTTTTTGCATTATGTGGGCCTCACTGTTGTGGCCTCTCCCATTGCGGAGCACAGGCTCCGGACGCGCAGGCTCAGCAGCCCTGGCTCATGGGGGGCCCAGCCGCTCCGCATGTGGGATCCTCCCGAACCGGGGCACAGAACCCGCATCCCCTGCATCAGCAGGCGGACTCTCAACCACTGCGCCACCAGGGAAGCCCCTAGAAAAGCATTCTTAAAATGTAACTTCTAAGTTGTTTCCTTCACAAGACCCAGTTTATTTTCTAATTTCATCTTTAGAATCTAATCTCTTCATGATGTACAATACAGCGTCAATTTAGTTCTAAAGACATTAACTAAAATCATTGATCACTGCTTTTTATAAAGCCAGGTCTAGGGCATAATGGGAACACTCTTAGTGTTAGGGATGGCCACGTAACTCCTAAGAACAGTGGTATAAAGCATTTAATTTTTAATTTTAGACTCTTTTACCCTAAATGGTTCAGTAAATGTTCAAGACAGCCTTGGAATAATTGTATTTGGAGAATAAAGAACAGCTGGGCTCAAAAGAAAATGAAGAAGCAGGAGAATGCATGGTCTGCTCTGAAAGTTAGGGAGGATTCTGGTAGAATTTCTTCAATGATTGGAGTTTGGGTTTAGGCCATTTATCAGGCAAGAGAAGAACCCAGAAGGCTGGAGGAATCAAGACACATTAGAGCTACAGAAAGCAGTTATACTCTCGCAATAAAACATGTGGACAGCCAAGGTAAACAGAGTGGGATCCAAGGAGGCCTAATCAGAAGTGAGAAACA